AGAATTTTTCTCACAGATCCTCCTACTTGATCCAAGTCAGTCGAGCTTAAGGAGCGACCACTTTGGTTCTTATCATGGATCCATCCACAGCCTTTGAACCATCACCGGCATCTGTTCTCTCCAATATAAGCATCTTGGGAAAAGAGTTTCTCGGTTTGAATTCTATCTCACCTATCAGTGTGTAATGGCGTAGATAAACATCCTCATGCCATACCCTCACCGGGGTGCCCCAAGGTTTGAAACTGGGGATCATCCTATTTGCTATATAAACTAACTCTTTGGGTCTTTTTATCTACTGGCATGACTTCTCATATTACTGTTATGTAGACAACACCCAACTACACCTGTCATTACCATCAGATGACTCCACACTCAAATCAGACATATTGATGTTGATGAGGAAATGCCACCATCAAGTAAACCTCTCTGAGACTGAACTCCCTTTGATGCAGCCTTCTCTGATCATGTTGCTTCAGTCTCCTGGTTGTGGCATTGTCATCCCTGCACACAAAGCAGCACATACTGTTCTTTTGTTTTGTTCTCAGATGATGGAATGAGTTGCTAGATGCTTTCAGGGCAGGATCATCCCTATCTATCAAGACTCATCTTCTCTGAGAACACCTCCTCTCCTAACTCCTCTAGGGGTGAGACAAATAAATCGATTCACAGTAAAGCATTTTTTTTTACAATTTTAGACCATGACCATGATTTCAGAGTAATTATTTCAGTTATTGTTTACACTTAGGTAGCCAGTTAACCTGTTAGCATCAGTAAATTTGTTTGTGCGGCTTATCACTGTCACAGTGAATAAATCTTCAGGTTTAACAGAGGCAAACAAATTGCTAAATGTGGAAACCTAACTGTTACTTGGATACTTGTCTGGACCCTATTACTGTGAAATTGTGATTAACTTAAAGGTCTCCTTCTGCACTGAAGCTTTAGTGTTGACCCTCAGTTGTAAGTCACTTTGGATCAAAGCGCCTGGTGAATGAGTAGCCAGCTGCACATAGACAGACTGTTACCAATGATATATGGTTTTTACAGTGTTGTTCTGATGTAGGCTACTTTAGATAGGATTTATTCACAGTCTCCATTTCACAAAAGTAATTGGACACTGCCATAATTAGACAAGCATTACATAATAGAAATGAAACACTAAACCGTGTGTGGATAACAGGAGACTGACCCTCAAGAGACAATCCTACCATGTAGCTCTAATTGGAATATACTGTCAATGCTATTACAGATGTAAGAAAAATGCTGGTAGTTCAAACGCAACTACTACCATGTTCCGGCTGGGAATCCTGCACATTTCAATGAAGGAGGCAATTTTATGTATTTTGTCTAATCTACAGTACACCAAAGAGTACACAGGATTAACAGTCTGGGCTAAATCTCCTCATTAGCAGTAAGTAACAGAGGACACAATGGCACAGGACAGCTGCAGCTCTGAAATATTAATTTTGTACGCTAACTAAGAGCCTTTGCAGAGGACTATGACATGGAGTCTTATGGTCATGAACATCAACTTCTTAGACCATTGTTTTCTCCCAAAGAAACGCAGCTTTGTAAATTCTGGCTAGGGTTTTGAATTTATTAGTGAATAATTTGCTCTAAACGGCAGTAAAGGGTAAAAGAGGAATATAAAACAAACCACCTGGGGCATCTGCAGACGTAGTAGTCTGCTAGATCATCTGCTCAGGATCCTGAACCCAGAACATTCACAAAATGTATTTATAACATCTCCAGGTCTACACTGTTTTTTACTTTAGTTTTATAGTCCCAATGTTATTACTCATTATATTCTATTCTTGTTGATGCTGATCTACAGGATCAAAAACCAACCATGAACTGCAATATACCCAGTTTGAGTCATGCCCGGCACCTTTGCTGTGTCTCGCTACCGTTATCCCTGTCATTTGTTTGTCTTCTGTCTACGATACATATTATTATAAAATACTCCAAAAACAGATTTGAATGTTTAAGGTAACCAGGCTTTGCTCTATCAACCTATACAATAGACACAGACCGTATGTGGTAAAGAAATAAGGTCCTCTTCCGGTGCCCCTTGATCAGATTTGACATTGTGGCCTCCTATCGGGTTAATTATGCTTATCCCAATTTGCTGATCACATGCTTGTGAACATTTATTGCACAAACATGCATAGATTAGTGTCTAAGCCTGTTAAGCCCTAAGGCTTCACAGAACTACAGTCATGTGTCAGTATGATCAGTGCAGCGTGAGGGGCTCCTGAAGAGTTGGTTTTTAAAACTGAGAATCCGAGTAACCGTACAAATTTAATTCAGAATGGACACAAAGATGTTGCACTGAATATTCAATAATCACACTTTTTGCCTAAAAGCAAATGCCTGACAGATAATTATGTCACCACGTAAGAGGATTTGTGAAAAGTGTGCTCTCCTCTTCCTTGTTACGACCGATCTGGCTGAATCACACTCATACAGCCTCCCAGAAATGTGTTGTGCGGTGCCCACTAACAAGACTTTAACAAGCTACCCACACGCCTCACACTCCTCTGTCTCTGACAGCCCACACCCAGCCTCTCTTTTTCTCTCTTTTAGATGATCTTCATCATGATAAACACACAGGGTGGGTTATAATCAGGGGCAGAGTAAGTGGACAAGGTCACGGATATTAACCAGATCGCAGCAAATGAGGGCTATCTGTTGAAGGCACTCGGACACCCTTGACACTGGCACTAAGGAGGCCTGCATTATTCATCACTACCCCCCATCACATCAAACCATCCATAAAGAGCGACCCTCTTTGAGAGCCAAGTTCGATAACCCAGAGTGATAGATAGAAGAGTCAGAGGTCAGACAGACGCAAGACATTTTGTTGGTCTTATAATGTATTATGTCTTAAACCGTTTGTCAAACAGCTGGAAACAGACTTAGGAAAGGAGCAGCTACTTGAAACTTGTATCCATTATTTATACCACTCATCCGTTGAGGGTTGCGGAGGTAGGTGGAGCCAATCCCAGCTGACATTGGGCTCTTTTTGACACATGCAGGGGATATTATGTTCATGCATGTGCTACAGTTGTTATCAATGTTGCCTTACACCAAGAGGGTTTTTGGTTCAAACAGTGGCTGGTATTTAGCATTTCTTGCATGTTCAGTGAATTTTCTGTGGGTACTCCAACGTCCTCCCGCAGGCCAAGGACATCCAGATTGGGGTCAGGTTAATTTGAGATTTTAAATTGTCCAGAAGTGTAAATGTCTCTGTATGTCAGACCTTTGACCTGTCCAGGTTGTATCCCAGCTCTCGCCCTGTGCAAGCTTGGATTGGCTCCAGCTCCGACCCACCCCTCAAAGGATGAGCAGTATAGAATGGATGCTAATGCAGAGATAGAGTATATCAAAAAGGATTAAGCCTGTGATGAAATTGGCCCATAATCAGTCTTTGACAAGTGTGAATAGAGGTTTTCTGTCAGGCTTCACTCTTCATATACAAATCAATGATCTGCCTCTGTTATGTTTTTATAACATCTTACAGACACATGCATAAATTAAAGCTTTGATTTAGTCAGACTTTTCTTACATGTGTTTCACAGTGTTTAAACTCTTCATTTGAAGGTCTCCAAACTTTGGAAAAACAAAGTCTTTCAATAACCATTATCACTTTCTGCATGTAAACCTTTGAATTTATTAACCCTCCTCTTTTATTATTTGAATCTTCTCATACTATGTTGTTTGTTTGTACAAATGTGATAATAAAAGAGAAAATCGTGTTCTGATGTTCACAAGTTATACCATATTATGGAACAATAATTGTATATGGAAGCACAACATATCTGTTTATATGGCTTTAATGTTTTGATGAAAGGGGATAATGAAAATGGCAAATAGCTAACTGTATATTAATGTTTTTTTCCTACTGGCTGTTTTGACAATGCAATTTCTTTGAGGATTATGCTTACTGCAGCCTTTGAATTCCCCCATTAGAACTGCATACACTATACCATAGGTAGCCTGGAGGACTATAGGTGTGTCTATAATAATAAATGAGAGACAATTTAGCTGTAGCTTGAACATTTTTATTTCAACTTCCACTCTCTACCAGTGCTAACCTCTAACCAACACGTGAGGCAAAAGAAACATCAGCCAGAAGCCTTAATGTGTTGACAAACGCTGGCTGTAAGCCATTGAAGGAAATTGAATGAGAAAGGAGCATGATGGGAACTGAAATGTTCCATATGGAAGAAAAAAAGAGGGGGAATATAAAAAAATTATAATGAAGTTCCAGGTGAGGAGGTTCCCACTCATCCAATAAGTCAGACAAACTCCTGGATGCAAAAAGGATTATTTAAAAAAAACAGCTTTAGCTCACACTGTGCACTCAACCAGGGCTTTCTGAAGGGTCATTCTCAGTCCCACAGTTTACCGCTCAACAAAAACAACTAGCAAATTATGAGCAACACATTTGACTGCTTCCAATCCTGTGCACACTTGAAAATAAATGGATTGCTCACCTCAAGGGGAACCACGGTAAATGTGTCCAGTTATAAAGTATTTTCAAGTTTAGTTTAATTTAGTTTAGTTTTTTAACTGCTTCAAAAAATACTTTATAGTAGTTTGTAATTTGGCTAAGGTCACGGTCAGGTGCCTACAGGTATTCATAATCTGCTTACACAAAC